CACGTAGAGTTCATCTGATAAAATTTACCGATTCCTCGATTGCAAAATGACGGATCCGCCAGCCGGACGTGAAAAAGAGAAACGGAGGGGAAGGAGAAGTAGGGTGCGCTAAGGGATAAATTTCAAGAGTAAAGTAAGCACAATATGTGAGATGAAAAATTACATTTTTAATCACTAATGTAAGTACATTTGAATAATGATAATTGAATACATATGTCATATATAAAATTTTATAATGTTTTGAAATTTTCAATTTATTTCTTCTATGGCCTTCGGGTCAGATTTAAAATGATCATAATTGTATGATTTAATGTTCCATGCATATTAATAGTGCCTTCACATTTATGATGTTTTAGATGATTGCATTTATGTTGTATGTTTCGGGCAAAAGCATCCTCATTTTTTCGATGTGTTTGGTCACGCATGTATTTTTATATATTTATGACGGTTTTTCTAGCAAGTTTTGGGTGTCAGATGTAGTTTCGATCCAGACATGATCATGAGTCCTTGTGGGACGGCTTAACTTTTTAGTTGGTTTGTCCATTTTTCCTTCTTTTCATGCAAGTTTCATGTTCATACCCTTAGCAGGTATAATTTCTACTTTACTATTAGTTAGAATAGAGTCATAAGAATCTTGATGTTTCGTTTCATTGACTTCGGGTGTATCGAATTGCTTCGGACGATGCAATACATGGATTATTGACGAAATTGATTCTCAATCAGATTGAGTTAACTACATTCACGGCTTATAAGAAATAGGGTCCCAATAATCTTAGAGGATGGCTCCATGGAGCCTCGACTAGGTTACCTCAGTATGTTTAAGATTTTCACAACCTACCTTTTGACCTACTCTTTTTTGAGTACTTATGTTTCCTTTCTCGAGTCTTTGTGGGCACAGTCATAGGCTTTCTTGGCTAAGAGGTGACTAACTGGTAGGTTATGGTGATTCACTCGCTACCTAGTGGCCTATTTTCACCCTTTTAGCTAGAGGTTCTTGTTGAGAAATTTAGGACAGAAAAATAAGAATAGACACAAATCCAAAAGAACACACAGAGATTTAACAAGGTTAGGCAAAGATGCCTACATCCTCGGGAGCATAGCGGTGACTTCCTTTTCAATATTTAGAAAATAGTACAAAATACAAGATTTAGCTCACATTAGGTTACAGACAGGACATATATATAACCCTATAGTACAATATGTAATTACATAAATTACCCCTATACCACACCACGGGGTGTTGCCCCTACAACCCCAACCCACATAATGAAACTAGGATAGATCCTTCCGCTCCACTCCGCTCCAGCATATGTCTCATTTATGGTATATGAGCCATACCTAACAAATCTCAATCTTGACGAATATCCAGCCCCTTAAGAGAAATATATCATTGAGTTTCTTATGCACCAATGTGGGTTGAGCCACCACGCTTCTGTTGCGCCCTTGTTCCCCCCAACCCACTGAATTTCAAGAGACATATTTTCATTCCAAGAGACTCCAAATTTTGGTATTATGAGTCATACCTAACAAATATTCACATTGGAGAATATCGAGCCCCTCAGGAGAAATACATATGCTCAACAAATATCCACCTTGGTGAATATCCAGCCCCTTAGGAGAAATACATCATGCAGTTTCTTATGCACCAATATAGGTTGGACCACCACGCTTCCGCTGCCCTCACTCCCTCAAACCCACTAAATTATAAGAGACACACCTCTTCAATTCCAAGAGACATCTCTTCGTTCCAAGCGACTCTAAATTCTGGTATTATGAGTCATACTTAACAAACCTCCACCTTGGCGAATTTCCAACCCCTTATGAGAAATATAAATACCCAACAAATCTCCACTTTGGAGAATATCCAGTCCCTTATGAGAAATACATATACCCAACAAATTTTCACATTGGCTAAAATTCAGCCCTTTAAGAGAAATACATATGTAAACAAATCTCCACATTGAGAGAAATATATATGCCTAACAAATCTCCACCTTGGCGAATATCCAACCCCTTAAGAGAAATATATCATGAAGTTTCTGATGCACCAATGTGAGTTGGGCCACCACGCTTCCGTTGCGCCCTCACTGATCACCCAACCCACTAAATTCCAAGAGACACGTCTCTTCAATTCCAAGAGACTTCAAATTCTGGTATTATGAGTCATACCTAATAGTTCTCCTTGCAGTAGCTGTCAAAAAAGCCATTATCTACCTATTTTCAAGGCTTTTCTTTTAAATAGAACACCTTTATTTATGAGTTTTCCTGGTTGGATCACAAGTTGTAATTGATAATAAGGATATATCATTGTGGGAGGTATCTTTTAACTTACAAAAAAATAATTTTGATTTTGTCTTCTAGGTTGGATATGAAGGTCTTGTTATAGAATCCTTATTGTTTATGTACTCAGGCTAAGCATGGTTTGATTCAATTTGAGTGGCTCTTCTCCAGTTCATATTATGAGAATTATTCTATAAGGTATCATCATATTTATCCTGTTTGTTAACCTTCGTAATGTCCAACCGACTTTATCTTTCATTCCTCCTATCATACCTGGATGGAGGCTATTTTGAGGAAAAAAATTTGAAGAGGGGCGCATATTGTGAAGTAAAGTAATTTATTTCCAAAAATGAATTTACTCTCAAATATGGCATCAAGAATCATTTTTTATAATATAAAGTGATACATCAATGGGAAATGTTGATTTAAGTCCATCGAGATAATTAGAAGGTTCAACCAAGCAATATAAAAAAAGGTGTGTGAATTGGTAGCATATAGAAGAGTGTTGGGAAGATTCAAGTGAGGTTGTGGTGGAGAAATAAATGTAGCACAACAACAAAGGTGCCCCATTGGTATCATCAATTTGATTAAACTTTGGATTGTAATATTTTTTTATGGTTGAAATCCATTGTATGGTTGTGAATCTCTAAGAGCTAAAAGAATTGGGTATGTTGTTCTTCTATCTTAAGCATGAGATTTTCTAATGATAGGTTTGAGTGGACTTCACTAGCTAAATTATGTTTTTCTTGATTGTGGGACTAGTTCTCATAGTGTTGAATGTTGAATTAGGGGACTCCATTATGATAGGTAATATACTTATTAGCAACTGGGAGAAAAGATTGTAAAATGGTGAAATGATTTCCCACAATTAACATCAGTGTGTTTGCCAAAAAAGATATGGTGATAGGGAAAAGTTTAAATCTTAATGTTTTATAAAAATCCCCCACATAAGTAGAATACCTATAGACGACACTAGAGTTTTTGTATGAAAGATAAATAAAAGAAATCGGGGGCCACACATATATGCAATGGTTTATGGCATTGGTATATATGATAAACAAATTATATTCCTCTCACGTCGGAGCTCCCACGTTCCCCTCGCCTGAGGGCGAACATCTACACTTCAGCACCCAAACGATAGGACCGAATTGTGATTTTTAGTCTGTCACTATAAAATCTCCAATTCTACCCCCGATAATTTTATTTCCTTATTTATTTACACCCAACTTCCAAGGGCTTTGACCTCCCTAAATCTTGGATGTAATCTTCACTTTAGTTGTAAAACTCAACATATTTTAACAAATCAATTGGTTATATTGAAAGTAAATTAAGATCGAAGTGAAAAGATCATCACAA